ACACACACACACACACACACACACACACACACACACACACACACACAGTGTTGTAGCTGCTGCAGTAGTGGCCTAATCACACCATGCATTAAATTGATGAGCAATTGCACTGATTGGCTGCAAAGCAAAACCATAGAAATGAATCTAGGATTATTATTATTATTTATTATTATTATTTTGGTTACTTAAGCTAGGATTGGTTATTTACTTCAAAAATATTTGTAGTAATATTTGTTGAAATTCTCTTTACAATCCCGACAGCGATCAATGAATCAAATGCTCTGACAAACAAAGAAATGCGGTATTTGTGGCTGTCACAGGTCAAATCATTTCATTAGACCCAGATGAAAAGATTGGACGAGCTACTTTTGTCTACATTGTGTGTCACCGGACTTTTCCAAGCTTCACAGCTGTGAGTACTAAGTTAGTACTACTAACAGTAGCCATGTTGGTTGTTTATGTTCATAATGATAATTTAGGGGGTCTTTGGAGGGAAGCCTGAAGGGACAGGCTGTCAGTGTTGCTGACTTGGCAACTTTCTTTCTAGATTTAGCAACTTTCAGAGCTAGTGCGGCTAACTACTTTCATTGAAAAATAGTTTTTTTCAGGTTTATAGTTGGGGCCGGCTCAGGTTTCTTCCTTTTTTCTCCCCGTTAAAAGTTTTTTTGGGGGAGTTCTTCCTGTACTGATGTGAGGGTCAAAGGTCAGGGGATGTCGTATGTGTACAGATTGTGATTTTGGGCTATACAAAATATATTGAATTGCTAGTTTCCCAACATTACCAACACTAACTTTAAGGTGTGGAGTACCTATGCACCTTCATAACACAGTTACTGTTTTTATTCCGAACATAGAACCATCCTAATCTAATCTAGGCAGGCTGACAGCCACAAGAACAACAACTGAGGGCCTTAAGAAAATGTCAGCTTGGGGCTCCAAAGAGGTCAGGGACAGACCTGCAAGTACTTATTAAAATGTGGCAGATTAATGATTGAAATGAATGTTACCAGAGTATACCAACTGTGTGTCCCAGTAAGAGAAGGCTGAGATCCAGGCCTCAAAGTCATGGGCCTTCCACTGTGACAGAGCCGTCAGAGCGCCTTCAGCCAGGGAGAGCACACTGACGCAGCCTGCAGAGTCACTGCACACCACCCGCACATCACTGCTGCTGACACACACGGGGGACATGACCAAGAGCCTCCAATACACTCATATGTCATAAAAGCAGCCCAATATTTGGTATATTTAGACGAGGGTTTTATGTGCGTACATAATGTTAATGACAATGTAACATTGATACGGATAGAGTCTTTTGTCACAGAGATATGACTCAATAATAATAAAAATAGGAATAAAGTTGACTTAGTTGTAATAAGCTGAATCAACATTTGCTTTTGATGGTCATCAGTCATTTAACAGAAAACCAGAGGTGCAGGGGCTCGGGCTCTGGACCACGGCGGGTTTGTTACCTGTCCATTCTTCCAGTGGACCAGTCTAACGACAGAGCCAGCCGCTCTGCTCCCACCTCCACGCAGCACAGAGGCTCCAGTCTATGGCCTCCTTCCTATTGGATACACACGTTCATTAATGACCGCACAGACTTCCACATCACACTAAGTCTTATAATACATAGTAACAGACTAACACACTTGTCAGTGCCCAGCCACATCACTTTACATCAGCAGTGACTGAGCAGCTTCAGCTTGTCCTCGTCTCTAAACAGACTGAAGCAGTAACAGCACAGCAGCTGTGACAGCTGATCATGTTGGGTGTTGTTGGGTGTTGTGTCCAGTGTTTTATTGGACAGTAGTATGTTATGAGGCCTTTGTCCATCCAGAACAAACACTTTAGTCTTCAGAACATAATGCAGTCCAGCACACATACCAAAGTCTACAGCTTGTAAAATAGCAATTAAAAACAACACCACTGTTGTATTGGACCGCAATTACACTGCGATTGTAAAATGTTTCAGCTTTTTTGGCCACCAGGTATGCTCGTTTTATATGAGATACAAGGGCACTCAAGCGTCTGATTTGGTGTTTGGCCATTTCTTAAAGGCAATGCAAGACAATGTCATTTATTTTTATACCACATTTTCTACACTTTGGCAGTTTAATGTACTTTACAAGTTGCATAATAAATTAAATGTGAAAGGATTTAAAAAAGCACCTGCAGACAATGCTACATCGGTATTATAACTGAGTTTGGTTGGAATTATGCTCTTTGCTTCTAAGAAAATGGCACATTTGGACTTATTACTGTGGTTGAAAACACAGTCTTCCACCAGTGTTGATCTCAGAGGCTGACATATTCAACGATCATGTGTCCCGTCAAAAACCTTACGTGCTGATTCTGTACACAAACATCAACTATATACCTAAAAATAATAGACCTCACTTGCTGCGATTCCTCTGATGCCACATTTCTCACCTGACTGTCTGACAGTGTGTACAGCTGCAGCTCTCCAGTGGCAGCTGCCATTCCCAGCACGGCCCCTCCTGACAGTGGCACGTGACACCTGAGAACATGCAGGAGAATCAACCACAAGCAAACAGATAGTTGCATCAAAAGCCACACTGGTCAAACCTGATTTCTTACCATTTTAAATCTAAAATGGCCGCTGTGTCAATGCGCTGTAGCTCAGTGAGAGGAGGGCTCATGGATCCCTCCCGCCGAAATTCAAAAAGGTACAAACGACCAGTCCGGCTTGGAGGGGCATCCTCTTCCCCTGCCTTCAGGAAGTAGGTAAAAGGGACATCATTAGTCAACAGTCAGACACCAACAGGAGCACGACAGACTGCTGCCCCAGTATGTACCCAGGAAATTACAGGGTGCACCTGGAGATTACAGGGCGCACCAGGAGAGTACAGGGTGCACCAGGAGAGTACAGGGTGCACCAGGAGATTACAGGGTGCATTTAGAGACAGGGTGCACCAGGAGATTACAGGGTGCACCAGGAGATTAAAGGGTGTACCAGGAGATTACAGGGTGCACCAGGAGATTACAGGGTGCACCTGGAGATTACATGGTGCATTTAGAGACAGGGTGCACCAGCAGATTACAGGGTGCACCAGGAGATTACAGGGTGCACCTGGAGAATACAGGGTGCACCAGGAGATTACAGGGCCTCTGGGCAGTCCATTGTTAATCCAGCAGCCTCATCCTGGTCGTTGCCGATGAAAGTAAAGTAAAGCATGTCACGTTACTGTTAGTTCTAGTCAGAGTAATCCAGTGTGGTCCATAAGAGCAGAATCAATGACACTGTACTGTGGAAGCAATGTGTCCCTGTGGACAGTAGCACTATAATAAGGCTTGATGTTGGGCTCTGTCATACTGTGTTTACAGACAGGGAACACTTGGCACTACTAATGAATACACAATGGATGAAAACAGGTCAGATAGCATAGAAGTGTCGTTGGGGTTCTGTTCATACAACAGGTAATGGAATGCACCGGGACTGTTCGGATGTAATCTCACCCCTTTTTGTAGCTGATATGTCCCGCAGGCCAGGATGTCGTGGCTCGATGCAACAGGACACCACTCCACCGTGTCAGCACTCAGCTCCGTGTCCACCACCTGTAGATTGCGGGTCTTCGACTTCCAAGCCATGACCGCCTGCTTTGCATTACGTCACTGTACCGGTGCAATAACTAAAAAGTAAAATTATGTCCCGTTACGCCAGGACTGTAACATCAAAAGTAAACTCAATTTATAGACTCAAGTCTATTAAGTAGTTCGTACGTTGGACTTTAAGTAATACCATCTAAATGTAGCTAACTTCCAGTAGGCTATCTGAGCTAACTAAATCATCTCTTTGGCAGTTAGCTAGCAAGCTACAACTTACTGCAGTCTCACGGAGACCAAACTGTGAACAGTTAGACTCTACAGATAGTGAACTCATAGTCAACGAGTGAATAACATGGCCAGAGTTCCGCTAATACATGTTTTAACACGGAATATCCACAGAACAAATCATTATCAACAAAACTCACATGGGAGCCAGACGTCCCGACTCGACCAGTGTATGCGTCGTTACGTCACCGCTGGGCGAAAGGGTGCATTCAGGAACCACTGCAAAACAGCAAAATAAATCGGAAACTAGAGTACGTGACTGACAAAAGGGGAATCGGCTCGCCAGTTTAAGACACATACAGTGTATGGTTCATCACGTGCTTGGATCGATAACGTAGTGTTGAATACCGACTCCCCATTGTTGTTACGGCTACGGAGATAGCTAAAATAATGATTGTGGTTACAGGTATCACAACAAAGGTACTACATGGATTCATATTATACTCCTTTAGCTATCACGAATCCCTGCATCGTGAAATGAAATCCATTACAAATGGCACCATCAAACTACTAACCCACCTTCGTTAATTTTGGCTTGTTTTATTCTGAGGGTATTTACCGGAACTGTATGGTAATATATTATAATGATGTTGGTCACGTCCGCCACACCATAATACTACTTTCTAGTGGTAACAGATATGTAATCAGTCTACAGGTGTTTTCTGTTTCAACAATATTGCTCATGTCACTTCCTTGACTCACGGAAATTTGATGGGATGTATGAGAATGGTGGTTATAGTCATAGATATACTCTGGCCTCAGTGTGTAACAACATATCAGTCTATTTACTATTGTGTTGATGGCTGCGGTTGACCTTTATTAGTCCCCTTAGTCCCCAAGGAGCAATTGTATTTGCAAATGTATTTACAATCAAGAGTGTAAACTGCCTTGAAGTGGCTAAAATATGTAACTACATAGTAGTATATGGGTGAAAGTTTTGAGTATTGCCATATTGCCAGCTCAGGAAGTTCACCCTGCACCATGAGCTGCTCATCCAGTTCTACACTGCAGTCTTCCAGTCTATTCTGTTTTTTAACATACACACGTAATCACTGTCAAATACAAATCCATCCACACATTGTCTGGTCTGCAGAGAGGATCATTGGTTCCAGCCTGCCCTCCATCCTGGACTTGTCCACCTCCAGAGTCAGTAAACAAACGGGCAGGAAAGATCACTGCAGACCCATCACACCCTGGACACAAGCTGTTCAACTCCTCCCCTCTGGAGGGCGCTACAGAGCACTGTACTCCAAAACCACCAGACACAGGAACAGCTTCTTTCCACTGACCGTCACTCTCATGAACAATTAATCAGTCACACTGCACTACTACCTCTGTTTGCACTATTACCTTAATTCCATTGACACTGTTGTTGTATTGTTGTATAGGGTTATGTTCGTATATATGTATATATATATATATACGTTTGGATATATATATATATATATATATATACGTTTGGATATATATTGATATTGTACATAGTCGTCAAATGTCCGTTCTACTTTTTTATTTTTTTTTATTTCTAATATGTTGTTTTATTTTTCTTCTTCTCCAAAACTATGTGGACACCCGCAGAAACTTAACTTGCGACCCCCTTGTGGGTCGCAAGTTAAGTTTAGTTAAAGTTAAAATAAAAATAAATAAAACTTTGAAAATGGAAGTTTTGCAGCAATTACGCTTTTACTTTATCAAAAAATAAGAAATGCCATTCATTGCAAAAAGAGTGCGAATGATCTGAAAAGGAAGAGGACAGGCACACACCTTGAATCTTGCTCTAGTGATGTTGTAGGTTTTATATATTAGCAGGTCAGGTGTGTGAACAGGGACTCGGGAAACGAGGCACTCCTCCAATTTCAAGCAAAATGTGCTGCAATAGTTTTTAATCATTAGATATCAAAATGCCGGCATCTGCTGGCCAACTTTCGGTATTGCATTAATGGAAAAAAGGAAATACAAGACATTAGTGAAACAGCTGCTAAAGCCTAAGTCACTGCTGTCATCATCAATGTTATTATATTATAGACACTTGCCATTGTTTGTCCAATTCGTCCAATGTTGTGCTTTTAAATATTTTTGTCAGATTGCTCATGTTTGACGTAACGAGGTGGTAATGGTCACGTGATTGTTGCCGTGAGCCATACCGTCCAGCCGCTGCTGTAGAGTAAGCTAGTCTGCCTCGAGTGTAACATCGCTAGCTAACAGACACAAACAGAATGGATTTCAACGTGAAGAAGCTAGCCTCCGGTGCGGGAGTGTTCTTCACGCGAGCTGTCCAGGTAATAACATCCTCGTGCATAGTGCTGCGGTTCGGCTGACGCCATGACTGACGCTTTACTCAGTTGACAGCCAGCTGTTACTGGCGTTACTGGCTACCGGTAACGTGACCGCATCTTGTCTTAGCTCGCAGTATAGTGCATTACCGAGCTAACGTAACGTTACATAGAAGGCAGCGAGTAGAAACGCATGCTTGGTATTCATCGGGCAGTTCGCTAACTACTACGCCGTAGCTAAAGTTAAGGCCTAACGTCACATTGTAATCAGCGCAGTCTGAATGCTATCAGTAGCCTCTATGGCGGTGCTATGTTGTTCATGTAACGCTATATTTATTCAGGGCCAGGATAGAGCACCAGGCGCTAGTATGAATTAATGATGGAGTCTGTTCAAAGAACAACTTGTCATCGATGTATTAACCTGTTTTCATCCGGACAAGAGACAGAGAGAGATGGAGAGAGAGAGGGGGGAGGCAGAGAGAGAGAGGAGTAGAGAGAGGGGGGGGGGAGAGAGAGACAGACGGGAAGAGCGAGGGGTAGGGAGAGAGAGAGGGAGACAGGGAGAGGTAGAGAGGGAGACACAGAGAGAGAGAGAGGGGGGAGGGAGAGGGTTAGAGAGGGAGACAGAGAGAGGGAGAGGGAGATGGAGAGAGACAGAAAAGGGATGGGAAAGACTGTCAGGTGAGCAAGACCAGGTCGTGAACCGGAGCCTCCATGACGTCATGCTGTCGCGGCGGTTCCCGTAGATGTTTCTGATCGTATGATGGTTGGATGGGATGGTGGAGCCTCTGTACACATGGTGTGTGCTGTGCCTCAGTTCACAGAGGAGAAGCTGGGCCAGGCGGAGAAGACGGAGCTGGACGCTCACTTTGAGAACCTGATGAGCCGCGCAGACTGCACCAAGCTGTGGACGGAGAAGATCTACAGACAGACTGAGGCGCTGCTGCAGCCCAACCCAAGTAACGCACTGCCTTCAATCATGTTCACAACGGATCTTATCTCAACAGTCTATTGTTGCACACATTCTCTACACTATAGAAAGTATCGGTTAATAATTACATTGTTTGTAAAACATCTTTAAACATGACATAGATAGATGGACCCGATATTTGTAACAATTTGTTAATAGTTTGTAAACTATCTATGAACATTATATTTATTTGAGTGGTTAGTTGCAACTGATGATTATAATACCTAAATAAAGTAAATGCATACTTTATAAGCACCTATAAACATTATTCAGATACACAGTTAATACTCTGTCAGTGGTTCATGGTTGGTTTCTGGTCCATCCATCATCAAAGGTATTTTACAAACAGCTTCTTAAAGTTTACAAAGAATTTGGTAAACATTAACACATACTTATTATAGTTTATACAATATTATGATTTGTTTCACAATGAACTGTTTATAAATAGTTTATTATAGTAATCGGATCGTAGTTGTCATCGTCTCTTATGATACAATACATAATTACAAAAATAATGACAACATAACTTATAGCATTACTAATAATTAATAAACATCATTGATTATTTTTTGTTTGTTAACAGTAAACTAACG